ATTAATGGTCAGTTAACTGTTTGTCTGTTGGCAAAATATCTTATGAACATCAATTGGATTTTATTGCAATTTTCAGGAAAAAAATGTTGGATGTAACTCTCCAACTGATTTAAGGTTTGGAGTCAACACAATTCAAGATGGTCGCTACAGATAACTGATTTTAGAAAACATAAAAATGGCTAAAACCCAGTCTGTTTTATAGATATTAAACTAAAATCTGGTGTGGTAGTAGCTGAGACCGATCACTAACAGTTCATGCTAAACACATAAGCTCACATAAAGTTCTTGTCCAGATTCAACCAAAACAGCTAAAACCAGAATAAATGCCAGATTCCAAACCAGAGTGCCCCGTCTGGTGAAAACCAGAGGAGAACATTGATGGAAGAAAACAGGGGTTCCCAACCATGATCCTTGAGGAACACCATTCTGCATATTTTTCTTGTTTCCCTGCTTTGACACACCTGATCTGAACGAACGGGGAATAAACAGCCAGGAAGTGTCAGAGAATTTGACATCTGCCTTAAAAATAAACCTAAACTTTGTGCTAATCTTTGGAATAAGATGATCTCAATATGATGATCTCAATAAGATGATTTCAATAAAATGACCTCAGTAAGATGATTTCAATAAGATAATTTCAATACGATGATTTCAGTAAGATGATTTCAATAAGATGATCTCAATAAGATGATTTCAATAAGATGATCTCAATAATATGATTTCAATAAGATGATCTCAATAAGATGATTTCAATAAGATGATCTCAATAAGATGATCTCAATAAGATGATCTCAGTAAGATGATCTCAATAAGATGATCTCAATAAAATGATCTCAATAAGATGATCTCAATAAGATGATCTCAATAAGATGATCTCAGTAAAATTTTCTTTTTTCATTTTTTCATTTAGCCTTTATTTATCCAGGTAGTCTCATTGAGTCACGAGAACTCATTTTCAAGAGAGACCTGTTTAGGAGCAGAGGGTGGGGGTTAGGGGCCTTGCTCAGGGGCCCAGAGTGGGGCCAATGAGGGTGGAGGCTGGTGAAGGTGTTCCACCTTTTCCACCCACATTTTGATGTTGATGGTACTGGGAGTTGAACCTGCGACTTTCTGATCACAGGCCTATCTTCTAACCTCTGCGCCACCACTCCCCCAGATGATCTCAGTAAGATGATCTCAATAACATGATCTCAGTAAGATGATCTCAATAAGATGATCTCAATAA